TGAAAGAATTCAGGGCGCAGAAGCACAGTTCTGTCATTCAAGTGAGCTTTAAATGAACTAATGGAAAAGTTTCAGGTTTTAAAGTCTGGAAAGGGCACACGCCATTTCTGGAAAGCGTGCCAGGCCTAGAAGAAGCTGTGCTGGGGCTCACAACCGGGCACGAAAAACCACGTGGGAAAGAACACCCACAGGTGTGAACTGGGGAATCCCCGGAGTCCAAGAGGCCAAGAGCATGTGGGCCAGGAGTGGCCCTAAGCAGACTCTGAGAGGGCACACATACTAGAGGCCCGCCTTACACATGTCCCTGAAGGAGGGCAGAGTAAAAGGCAGCCTGGAGTATTAACACCTCTGGCTGGGGAGGTGTAGTTGAAGGTACTGTTTGGCCTCATTGGCTGAGTTCAGGCCCAGCTGGGTGACGTACCTCAGGTGGGTGTGCCCAAGCCATTGGTTTTACCTGGACCTAGAGGATCCTAGTTTGTGCACGCTCCGTTTGGATTTGTCCCATAGGTGTCCAAAGGCTGCCTGATTTCTTTCCAGCCCCTTTCTGTGGGCCTTTACAGGCATTGGGAGGGCAGCCCCACTTGTCCCTCGATCTAACTTCCTTTCAGGACCAAGGCAAGAACCATCCTGCTCAACATCCCTGAGTTTTAGGTGAGAGGACTGAGACCCTGGGCAAAAAGGGGGTGGGGTGGGGGAGGGGTGGGGTATCATGCGCTGAGATCCTATTCCCAGAGGTGCTTGGGGAAGTTACTCAGATGCCACCACTTCCTGTTTTGGTGCCAACTGTTGCAAAAGGCTACCCTGGGCTCCACCACTTCTTTCAATGCAGAAAACCCACAATCTGGGGCGACCACTGTTCTCCAGAGGAACTACAGGGGCAGGCAGGACCCACTCCCCTCTGGGGCTGCCCTGGAGCCTGGTCCCTGCCTGCTCAGGAAGCAGATGCCATCTCTGAGCACAAATGGCACGGAAGGACCACCTTGAAGAGTCAGAGAAGGAGATGTGGCTTGGGACAGATTAGAGGGATGTTATTCCTGGCTGGAAGGTGGCCAGGAATCCAGCCATCAGCCTCAGTCTTCAAAGCTGGAGAAGCCAGGGACACGACACGGCATATCGCCCCAGGCCTCACAAAGGAACCATCTCCGGAGTTAGCCCTAGGAGACCCATTTCTAACTCCAGACACCCAGAAATGCAAGATAAGCCACCGGTGCTGTTCTGAACCAGGATCTGTGGTGACTCCTTAGGGAGCCGTCAGAAACGCAGGCAGAGACAGGGGAATGGTGACTCCCGGGGATCTCAGCAGGCAGCAGAATGAAGGTGGATGTGCCACAGGCCGGCACGAACGTCAAAGCACAAAGGTAGGGAAGGATGAAATTGAAGAGGAAGCCCCCCCTCAGGTCTCACCTACTCTCTTCTCACCAAAGTCTCCCTTATATGGCCCAGTGTTATCTTTGGCTGCCACACGGACTGCAGTTTCTAATGCAACACCTACTCCGCTTCCTCTTTGATATCATCCTCATTTCCAGAAACTTCATGTGTACACACCCCCTCCACCCCACCCGCAGAACTCAGCCCTGGGCCATCCCATGTTGCCCCTACCTTTCCTGGTTCTCCCAGAGCTGCCCTCCTGTGGCCATTGCTCCCACGACATTACACACAGCCTTCTCCCTGAGACCTCTGGGCAAAGCCAACTTGGGCCCCTTCTCTCTCACAGTCCCACCAGCTGGAACCTCATGGATCCTTGAGGAGATGCAGGCCCTGAGGCCAGCTGGTGGGACACCTCACTCTCAAGTTCCTTCCATTGCATCAAAGCAGTTCCAGTACCCAATAAACACCCCATGTGTGTGTGTGTGTGTGTGGGGGGGGAGTCAGATCCTTGCTGCCAGACTGCTGTCTCATCCCACCACAGGGGTGGGCCTGCTCCCTGCCTCTGGGGACAATGGACAGGCTCCTGTGGGCGGAGTTCGCATCCTACTGAGAATGGTCTCTATCAGTTGGGCCAGAGACAGGTCAAACCAGCTGTCCCTCCTCTTCCTATAGCATGTATGTCCCTAGATCACCCCCTCCCATCACTGAATACCTGTACCAAGACCCTTTCCTGTGACCTATGTCTTCACCTGTAGTGTGGGGGCTTGCACGTCCCCAACATCCCCTGAGAGTATAAAAGCTTGGGGAGCATTAAAGCTCTCTCTCTCTCTCTCCAAGTGGACCAACAAGCGGGGCTGAGGTTAGCAATGCTACTATAAAATGTGTCTGACTCCATTAATTTCTATATATCTCCTTTATCTCTCATGCTCTCTATAACTTTACTATAATATTTACTTATTATCGCTGTACAATTGCGCCTACCGAACCCGTAGTCATTGTGCTAGGAGCTGGCTTCTTCTGGCACCCGTGCAGGTGTTTCTTTCTCCTACTCTTGTCCCGACGAGTCACCAGGGGTCCACATGGACTGGAGGGCAGTGAAAGTGGGAATTAAAGAACTGTATCCCGAGCAGTCCTGAACCGGAACTGTCAAAGCGCTACTTCCCTAACACACCCATCACTGGGAGCAGGGTCTGTGATTCTCTGACAGTTGCCACAACTGATCAATCCCAGGAGAGAAGCACAGTGTTGTTGGAGGGAGGGGTGGAGCCAAAACTGGTTTAAAAAAAAAGTTGTGGGAAACAGAAAACCAGGAAGAGATTGTATGCAGGCAAACTGTCAACATTCATACGGTAAGGAGTCTGGAAGACCAGGGCTCCCCGTGGAGGGAACTTTCACGTTCCTGGGTTGGAGATGCATGCCACTCAAATTCTTCTCCGTAAAAGTTATTCCCCATGATGTCCCCCTCTAATGATGCCAAATTTAAAGTGTTGCTTGCAAGCACATGGTCACTGACTATACACTTGGAGGTCAACTGTCTGAAGGTCATCTGCCTGAAGGCTATCTGACATCAAAAGCAGCCAGACCCTGTTGTCTGCCCCGCACTCAGTAGAACCCACTCCATTCTGGTAAGGATCATAGATTGCTTCCCTGGAGAAGAGCTCAAAGACACCCAAGTTCAAGCCAGCTCAGAGAGGACCAAGGTTGGGCTGGTCGTTGACTCTAGAGCCCGCCCTTCTTGTTGGGTATGTGCCTTCTTGTCACATGGGTGTTATTCCAGGTTGACTAGAAAAACCCATCCAGAGGCACTCATGTCACACCTATGTGTGTAAGAAAGAGCTTTATAGGAAGAAGCACACCAGCTTATGCAACCACGAGGTGCCGAAGGGATCAGGTATAAAGGCATCATCAGAACAAAAAATCTTACCATAGGAAATGATGGGGGGCAGTGCGGAGTGGAGACCCAAAGCCCATTAGTAGGCCACTGGAGATCCCCTTGCAGAGGGGTCTCAGGGAGGAGACGAGCCAGTCAGGGTGCGATGTAACAACGATGAGAAATACAACTTTCCTCTAGTTCCTAAATGTTTCCTCCCCGCTCCCACTACCATGACTCGAATTCGACCTTGCAAGTCTGGCTAGACCAGAGGATGTACACTGGTACAGATAGGAACTGAAAATACAGGGAATCCAGAGCGGATGAGCCCTACAGGACCAGTGGTGTGAGTGGCGAAACAGGGAGGGTAAAGGGAGAAGGGGTAGGAAAGAGGGAACCGATTACAAGGAACTGTGTGTGACCTCCTCCCTGGGGGACAGACAACCGAAAAGTGGGTGAAGGGAGACATCGGACAGGGCAAGATATGACAAAATACCCATTTATAAACTATCAAGGGCTCATGAGGGAGGGGGGAGCGGGGAGGGAGGGGAAAATGAGGACCTAATATCGGTGGTTTAAATGGAGAGAAAATGTTTTGAGAAACGATGTACAAATGCGCTTTACACAATTGATGTGTGTATGGATTGGGATAACAGTTGTATGAGCCCCTAATAAAATGTTTTTTAAAAAAAAGAAAGAGCTTTATATAAAAGAGCAACTCTAAGGAGCTGATGCTGGGGGCTTAAGTGGAGAGCAAATGTTTTGAGAATGATGAGGGCAATGAGTGTACAAATGCGTTTTACACAATGGATGGATGGATGGATGGATGGCGATAAGAGCTGTATGAGCGCCTAATAAAGTGATTAAAAAATAAAAATAAAACAGCAACTGTATATTGAGAAGACATCCCAGCCCAGATCAAGCCCATCAGTCCAATATGACCCCATATGTCAATGACTCTAGAGCTGCCCATCGTGTTACATATGTGCCTTCCTGTCACATATGTGCCCCTCGTGCCACTCCTTCCTATTGCACGTACACCTCAACTTCATGCCCCTCATGTTACGTGGATGCCTCTTGCACAACCCCTTTCTGATAAGTATGTGCTGACCGTGGCCTGCATGACCCATATTATGTTAGCTCATGAGATTACTTTATGGTCTCTCTCTGCTCAGACCTGGCTCCAGAAGTCATGACAGAGAGCTGAGCCCTTGCATGCTTTATCTTGTCTGATGCCTTCTTAATTTACTTACCAATTACATAACTGCCCACTAAACCCATTCGGTTGTGGGGAGGTTGGTCCCCCACAGGAGAACATGCCTGATTCCCACCGCAAAGTCATGGGCCTGGGGTGGCCGATGCTGATGGTGACTCCTGCAGACGGAGGAGGGCAGGCAGCTCCCACACAGCATCTTGAGAGGGATCCCTCATCTTTCTCTTTGATCTCTGTGCTCTCTCCTTGGTGATCCAACTCTCCTTCTTGGGCTTGAAATCACTTGTGTGGTTGTGATTTCAGATGCAGGTCTGAAAAGAACCTTCACATTCTCAGAGCCAGACTGTCCACATCGACACTCTAGGAGGTGGGCTAGACGACATCTCAGCCTCACCCAGGCCCAAGCTTTGATTTCCGAGTTCCCCTTCAGTACTAGCCACAGTCCTCTTTCACCCAAAGGCTTCCTGTTGGGGCTTCCTCAGCCCCTCCTCACATTGAGGGCATTCACTTCCCCAGAGGGAAGGGCTGGGCCCCGCTGTGGACACAGACATGCTGTCCTGGCTGCTGCTGCCCCTGCTGTGGGTGGGTGAGTGGGCTAAGGGATGAGCCAAGGGGGTGGGAGTCCGGGCTGGGGCTGCAGCTGATTCTCTGTGTCCCTCAGGGTCCCTGCAGGAGGATAAAGGGTATGAGCTGCAAGTGCCTCTTTGGATGTCGGTGCAGGAGGGCCTGTGTCTCACGGTTCCCTGCAAGTTCATCTACCCCTGGGAATCACATTATCATCCTGACACACTCTACATCTTCTGGTTTGAGGGTGGGGGCAATGTGCAACACGCCCCTGTGGTGGCCACCAACCATCCAACCCGAGCAGTGAAGCCACGGACAAAGGGCCGGTTCCAACTCATCGGAGACCCGCTGACCAACAACTGCTCCCTGAGCATCAGAGATGCCCGCAGGAGTGACTCAGAGACCTACAGTTTCCGGGTGGAGCGAGGACCGAAGGTGCAATATACCTACCAAAACAGGAGGCTGACTGTGCTGGTGACAGGTATGAAGGGGCCCCGGGAGGGGTGCTGGCAGGAGGGAGCTCCAGTGTTGGCCGAGGGAGGTGACGATCCCTGCTCCTGCTCAGGTGGGCTGGGTGGTCAGAGGATCCAGGGCCAGCTGGCCTGCTGGGACCCAGGCCACTGTCAGACCACCCACTCTGGGTTGCCATCCCATGGGGCCCAGACACCTCCCTCTCTCCTCCTCCTCAGACCTGACAGAGAAACCCCACATCCACATTCTGCAACCCCTGGCGTCCGGCCGCCCCGCAAACCTGGCCTGCAGCCTGCCAGGGTCCTGTGAGGGGGCCAGACCCCTGGCCTTCTCGTGGGTGGGGGAAGCCCTTAATGAGACGGACCCTACAACACGCCAGTCCCCGGTGCTCACCTTCACCCCGAGGCCCCAGGACCATGGCACCAACCTCACCTGTCGGGTGAGACAAGAAGGCTCTTCTGTGACCACGGAGGTGACCATCCTGCTCAATGTGTCCCGTGAGTATAGGGGGGATGCTGGCACCCGAGGGCCGTTGGGTCATGAAGGGCTCACGTCCTGAGATGCTGTTCCTAGGAGCATTTACAGGAAGTTCCCTCCAACTTCACCTCTTCCAAGTTGGTGACCCATTTGGGAAAGGTGAGATCCAGCCTCATATCTGGACTGGTTCTAAGGGACCCGTTGTGTAATTGAGAGGAAGAAATTAAGAGACAGACAAATGTGGGATATAAAATGACTTTTCCCCAGCTTTGTCTCCCCCAAATATAAACCAACCACAAGAGGTTGCTTGCCAGCACTTGGTGGGAGGTCAGAGGCTTGGAGATAGTCTCCCTGCAGGCATTCAGCCATCAAGAGCAATGGGACACTATTGTTTATCCCAGGATAGGTGGGGCTCACTCCCTGCTGTTAAGGGATTCCTTAACCTAGAAAGCTTAGACTAAATCAAGTCTCCAGCTCAAGGACAATCAAGGTTAAGCTCCAGCTTGAATCTAGCATCGGCCCATCTTGTCACATGTGTACCCCCAATCCCTCCTCTTCCTATGACATATGTACCCCTAAATCGTTCCCCTCCCAATACTCTCCTGCCTTTGCTACAACCCCTTCCTGTGACATACGTAGGCAGTTACCGGAAATCAGGGGGCTTGCATGCCCCCCAAGTATATATAAGCTTTGATTAGAAATAAATTCTTCTCCCTTCTGCTCCTCTCTGGTCTCCAGATTTGCACGTGGACCATCAAACGGGGTTGAGGTGAGCGTGCTACCATAACATGCGTCTGACTCCTTTATTTTACTTTCTAGTTTATTCTCTATGACTTTACTGGAATCTTTATATATGATAGCCATACAATTGCACCTACCAGACCCATGATAATTTGTTAGGGGCTGGTGCTCACCTCTGCCATGGCTTCAGGAAGTAGGTCTGAGCAGAAAGAGAGAAAATGTATTCCCAACATCACCTTATATACTCTTGGGGCATGCAAACTCCCCACCCTAATTACAGGTAACCACATACCTAACAAACTGGGCAGTAGCCTAACCCTAAAGGTTTCTGAGATCATTGGAGGAGTAACCTAACACCAGTGCTGGGGGCAGGTAAGGGGAGTGACTGTCCCCTTGAGCAGGGAGAGCAATAGCGAGCGACATGTCTGCTCCTACAGATAAAGCTGCGAGCCAGATCACAATCAGCCAGGTGCTTGTAAGAGGTCACTTTAAGGCAGCACTATGATGCGAGGATATTGTGGGAATCAATCTTGGTTACGAGAATGTGACAGGGACTCATCTCTAGCCCACAAGTGTAAAGGCGTCCTTCCACCCAGAAACCTGCCCTGCCAGGTTTCTTAAAACATGCGAATAAAGAATTTGTCCACATACACTCACCTCCCATTCCCGTTTCCCACAGGGAAGATTGAAAAAGGCCACCCTGGTCCTCACCACTCTCCCCTTCCAGAAACCCCCCACACAGTGGCCACCTCCGTTCTCCAGAGGAACTACACAGGTAGGAACGAGCCTTCCTCTCTGGGGCTGCCCTGGAGCCTGGTCCCTGCCTTATCAGGAAGCAGATGCTGTCTCGGAGCAAACGTTCACAGGGAAAGATGAACTTGACAACTTGCTGAGGAAGCCCTCCCTGAATCCTCAGCTCCCGGGCGGGCACTGCCCCTACCTACTCCCTTCTCACCAAAGTTTCCCTTAGGTGGACCCAGTGTTACCTTCGGCTGCCACACGGACTGCAGTTTCTAAGGCAACACCTGCTCGGCTTCCTCTTTGATGTCATCGTCTTTTACAGAAACTTCGATGTGTACATACACACCCTCCACCCCACCCTCGGAGCTCAGACCTGGCCATCCCATGTTCCCCCTACCTTTCCTGGTTCTCCCAGAGCTGCCCTCCTGTGCCCATTCCTCCCACAACATTACAGACAGCCCTCTCCCTGAGCCCTAAGTCTGCCTGAGTGCCCTCTGGGCAAAGCCAACTTCGCCCCGCCTCTCCCTCGCCTTCACTGCAGACACCCCCCTTCCCCAAGCCTGGACCCCATGAGGCACTGAGTTTTGCAACCTTCCCTCTCAAATCACGTTCCTCTTCCTCCCCGCTTGGGCCCCAGCAACTGCTCAGCTCAGTCAGCCTCCCACCCCACCCCCAGCCCCAAGCCTTCCTGCCTCCTTCCATCTCTATTGGTTCCAACAGGGTCCTTCTTCCCCCTCCACGTACTGCGTCCCATCCCAGCCCCCAGCTCCAGTACGAAGTCCAGTGCTCTCAGCCTGGTCCTGGACGCTCCCAGCACCTGACCCTGCCTCCTTCGCCCTCCCTGGTCTGCAGAGCCAGGTCCTCCCAGCCCCATGGCAGACTGGGGTCCACCTCCAGGCTGCTCCTTAGTACAGAAACGCCCCCTTTCCGGCCCCGCCCCGCCCCCTTCTTCCTCCCACTTCCGTTTCCTTGAGGCTCCACCCACCCTCCCCTGTCTCCGCCTGCTCTTCAGCCTTGCCCGCTCAGACGTCATGCTGGCCCCGCCCACTCTCCGCCCTTGCTCCTGGCCCCGCCCCATACCTGAGCTCTAGCCCCTCCCCTTTACTCCAGTTCCCGCCCCCCTGTGAGGAATCTGCCGCTCCCCTCCCCCACTTCCTCCTTCCCTAGGGCCTTTCAATCTCACGGGTTCTCCCAGCACCTGAGACTCTGAGCCAGGGGGTCAGACCGTGCTCCTGAAGGACGCGGTTGACACCACCTCACCCCGCCATGCTGATCGGGGGTCCGCAGGCAGGCCTCAGGGTCCCGGGTGATGGAGCTGCTTCCTAAACCGGAGATGTGGAGAAATTGACCTCAGTAGCTCATCGTCCACCCCACCCCGCCCCGCCACACCCCCACACTGGGCACCCCACCGTTTCTGTGAGGCTCTGGGGCAGAGTGCCTGGTAGGAGAGACGCTGGGAGAAGACAGGTGCTGGCTGGGGACGGGGCAGGGGCCTGCAGACAGACCCCCAGTGTCCTCTCTCCCTCCTGCAGAAAGCCCTCCTTGCTGTCCCTGTCTCTCACAACTGGAAGAAGGCTCCGGGCCGCTGATCCGCACCGTAGTCCGGGGGATCCTGATGGGGGCTGGCTTCCTCCTCACCTATGGCCTTACCTGGGCCTACTACACCAGGTGAGCATACCTGTCTTTCTCCAGGGGCCACACCCCAAAGAGAGCTCACTGCTATGAGTGATACCCAATCCCAGCGATGACCCTCTAAGACTGGGTACAACTGCCTCTGTGGGTCTCTGACAGTGCAGCTCTGTGGGGGACCAGCCCCCCACAACCGAATGGGTCCAAGGGGCGGTTGTGTAATTGAGGGGTAAAATTAAAGGGACATCAGACAAGATAAAAGCTTGCAAGTGTTCACCTCCGGGACTGCCATGACTTCAGGAGCCAGGTCAGCACAGAGTGAATATATTAGACTCTAGGGGTGTGTAAGCCCCCCTAATTACAGGTAACCACATTGTAACAGGAAGGGTATGAACTAGGGGTATACAAGCCGTAGGAAGGGAAGGCACTAGTGGTTCTCAACTTCCTAATGGCGTGACCTTTTAAGACAGTTCCTCATAGGGTGGTGACCCCCAACCGTAACATTATTTTCATTGCTACTTCATAACTGATTTTGCTACTGTTATAAATCGTCATGTAACTATATGACATACAGAATGTAGTCTCATTGTTACAAATTGAACATAATTAAAGCATGTTGATTCATCACAAACACACAATATGTAATGATATATTTTGACATACAGTATTTATTTCTAATGACAAATCAATGAAATCTTGTCTTGAAGCATGGTGTCCCATGGGTAACCGTCTTCACACCGGGAACTCCTATGTGGGCGTATCTGCATGTGGGCGGACCCGCCTGGATCTTGGGCTTCTACCGTCCTCCCTAGGAGCCCTGGTGGTGTGCATGGCAGTTACTCATTGGGCTGCAAGCCGCAAGATTAGCAGTATGAAGTCACCGGGCGCTCCTCTAGAGAAAGGGCTTTCTCCTTCTGTGAAGGGTCAAGACTGTTGAGTCTTGGAAACACAGGTTTTGTGTTTCCCAAGGGTCGCAGAGGGTCACTATGAGTCAGCATCAACTCAATGACTGAGTTTGGCTTGAGTTTGACTGTCTTCCATAGCCTTTGGCAAACCCAGAGTTCACAAGTAAAGCTCTGATACCCTCCCCCTCAGAACTCTTTACTGGAGTAGAAAGCTCCGTCTTCCTCCAATGTGGCTGGTGGCTTCAAATCCAGTGTGTAACCACTAAGCCATCAGCCCACTACTGACCTGGAATTCCTGATTGGGACGAAGCTGTCCTGCCCAGCCTGGAGTTATATTTGAAAGAAATCTGGGCTTTCTCTGCAGGTGTAGCAGCCCTCAGGGGAGACAGGCTGACTGAGGCTAATTTCTTCTCAAGACTGGATGGAGCTGTGGATATGGAGCCCCGAGTGAGAGACACAGGGCCATCACTGCGTCCTTGGAAGTATGGGGTTCCACCCAATGCTCCCTTTGACTGCTGCCTGCGCCCCACCCCGCCGCCTTTGTACTGTCCTCATATGTGCTCCCCAAGCCCATCAATTCACTCATGCAAC